TTGAATTAAATATATATTTTAAAATAATAATAATTAATTTTATATTAAAAATTGTATTGAAAATTTTTTAAGTTTCATTTTCATTTTTGTTACACTTATGCACCTTTTTGCATCAACTTATGTAGTTTTTCAATAATATATTTAGTAACAATTAATTGTTATAAAATATTCATTTTACATACAATAAGGTTGTTATGATATAAAATTTTTTATTGCAACTTATAATATTGTTAAATAATATATTTAGCACTAACAAATATTTATGCTAAATGATGATATCCAAACTACTATTTTGTCATTGTCATTAGTTTTTACCTACAATTGATAAGTGTAGCACTACAAGAAAATCCATATTTAGTGACTAAATTATTGGTCATTAAATCTTTATTTTTCATCACAAATTATTATTAGTGATAAAATTTAAACCGTTAATAAAATCTTTGTCACTAATATTCTTAATAACAAATTAGGTACTTGTCACAGAAAATAATCTTATAGTGATAGAAAAAATTGACATTGTTAACAAGTTATTTATAACGATTTTATTTGTCACAAAAAAATATTCGTCACAAATGCAATTGTGATGAAAAATTTAGTCATTCATTATTAAAATTGATATTAAATAAAAAATGTATTTATATAACTACAACACAAATATTTTAATAAAAATTTTGTCAAAAAAAATAATATATAAATTTATCACAAAAGTTTAATAAAAAAATATTATTATTTCAATACTAATCAATTTTGATTAAAATTAATCAAACTCGATTAAAATTAATCAAGTTTAATTAAAATTAATCAGGCCCAATTAAAATTAATTAAGCCTAAACTAATCTCAAGTTTTATTGAGTTTCACATGTTTTATAATGCAAAAATTTATTTTCTTAAATATTTTTTATCGATGTGGGATATGTTTATAGTGCAAAACCTTATTCTCTTATGTGTTTTTTATCAATGTGAAATGTATTAATTAGAGAAAATTGACAGTTTTAGTGACGAAATATATTTTTTAGTAATGAATTATTTGGTCATCATTGAATGTGTAAGGTATATATGACCAATATTAGAATTTTGTCATAATTGTAATGTATTATAGTGATGATTTTTATCAACAAAAACTTATTTTATCTCTATGAACATTTTTCGGTGATGAAATATATTTTTTATGATAAATTTTTTTGTTCATCATTAAATATGTATGCATCTATGACTAATTTTTTAAATCTGTCACAATTGTGATTAGTTATAGTGATGATTTCAAAATTCATCACAAATTTCTGTCACTAAAATCCATTTTTCTTGTAGTGTAGGTATTTTTATTTACCTACGATTTTGAAAATGTAAGTAAAAGTTCTCTAAGGTTTTTATTTATGAATTTAAAAACTGTAACAATATTATTGTAAACATAGTTGGTTATTTTTAGTTACACAATATATTAACTACGTCATCTAATGTGTAACTATAGTATTTAGGAGGTTATAGTTATGCTTTTTAAAGATTTAATTATAGTTTTTGTGTGTAGGTAAATGACAATTATGGTGTAGTGCATTGGATCTCAACTAATTTAAAATTGAGTTACATCAAATTCCATAAGAGACAAGCTTTCTTAACTTTTATAGGCTTTCTCAATGTTTATTTTTTCATTTATAAGCTCGAACTCAAAACTTTATTCAAGGAGAATCAAGTTTTTTCTATTCAAACCAACAAGTTTAGTGAGATTAGTGT